ATCTTTCCTTTGAAACCTTTACAGCTATGGGTTTACTGCTAGACGGCTCTCGTAACACGAGAGAGAACAGATATGATCCTAAAGAAAATCTTAGCTTTTCATCTTGCATTCGATAAGAGCAGTTCATTTATATATCCCTTCCTACTTTGATACAAATGTTTCTAAAAACCTAAAACGAAACTTTTCGAAAAAGTTAAAAACATCAAGACTTGATTTTAGCTGATAATATTACCTAAGAGCCATAATAACGAACTTGCTCTGAAAAACCTGTAAAAAAAAAAAAAAAAGTAACTCGTGATTCGCAAGATCGATTGTGTCGAACATCTGTTTTGGTGATGGCGGTTAGAACCGAAACTCAACCTGTCAAAAACGAACACTTGCCAACCAAAAAACTTATGGATGTCAAATGTCTTTAAATCTGTCAATCAAAAGAAAATACTCAAAATTTCTGAGCCGTATCGAAGCCCTTTCGAATGTGATTGAGTAAGCGAAAAGCGATCAAGCTATGTAAGACTGTTTATTGTAAGGAACACTGTTGTGAAGCGAAGGAAAACACCTCGTTATCGCGAATAATTCGATAAACTAAACCTTGCTATTCCGACCACTTTAACCGATCGGTTAACCCAGACGAACGTCAAGATTATCCGGTAGCTATCTCGATCTGTCTGCTTCACTTTACTCATTACAAACATGCGAACCTTTCGCAAACAAGTTTATGCTAATATCGCTTCTGTCAGTGATTGTTATCCTTCCTCCTTCCTTCATTTTATCATTCAATCTTTAATTTGTTCCTCGAGATGCATGGCTAGTTAGCGGCCGATTCAAAGAGCTTTTATCGGGCTGTACTTAGACTAATAAACTCATGTCCAAGAAAAACAAATGTAGCTTGTTATTTCGCTTTTCTTTGCTGAGATCAGAATTTTATCTTGCGTAATGTCCACCGGCATTGTTCATCAGCCATTTTTGCACCTGTCTCGAGCAAAAAAAAAAAGAAAAAAAACCCGTGACAAATGGAAACGCGGAAGCAGTCCATTTTGTTCGAAATAAAACTTGTCAATCACAATCTGTTCTTCTATCGAATTGCTCTGATTGGATAAGGTGCGTTTACTATTTTCTGATTGGTCGAGAGTTAATCGGTAAATTTGCTTTGACTGCTGACCAGTCTCATGTCTTTCTTGCCTTCTTTTTCGATTCTGAAACATTGATCTTCTACTGATTTCATTCGGAAATTCGTCTCGTCTGATATGACTTATAAAGTTAAGTGGATATGTTCCTTAACCAAGAATATACCTTTTTACTGATACGGCGGCCATCTTGAATTATGGGATTCCAAGGAGGCAAACACGTAGGAAATTTGTACGAGCATTCAGTGGTCAAATTATTAAGTCTTGGTGTTTTGGATATTGTTCTAAGTACCAGTAAATTCAATTGCATTTTTGATCTGCATCTCATTGAAAACCATAAAGTTATGGGATTCAAAATGGCCGCCGTATCGTTAAAAAGGTCGAGATAACGACGAGAGGGATCCTTCCCGTTGTCTGTTCGTTGCTGACTGATGCGGTGAATGTATAACCAAAATACCGCATAGTTGGTGTGTGCCTGACACCGTTGTAGGATAACTCATATGGGCCTTCATAATTTTATGTGTGGTCAATTTGACTTGCTGGCCACTCAGTTCACACATAGCGAGTTGTTGTCATTTCTCTCTTATTCGTCTATCTAAAGTCTGATGTCTTAGTCTAGAGCTGAACTCATTTTTACTAATGTGCGCGCGGCAAAGACGAACCGAGTAGCAGAAAGGGACTGGCGAGAATCGTCTTCTTCGTAGTTCGTGCGCGTGCGCAGTTTTCCTTTTATTTTGAGATATAAATGAATTAACTAGTTTATGAGAAAAGTGGGTCCATTTCTGACCTAAAGAGGTCTATGGTCATTATTACATTTCGTTTTTCTAGAGCTCGAGATTGAAGGGCAGAGGAAAAGCGTCCCGCTTTAAACTCGTCCCCACTCCCCGCGCGACCAAAACAGGAAAAAACCCCGACCCGAGTTCCCTAAGTGAAGTATGAGAAAAAGGAGAGAGGGACTGTTAAAAGCCAACGTTTCTCAGCTGGAGTGTATTTATCCAGGATGCAATCTAGAAAATCCAAAAACTAGTTACAAAGCACAAAATGAGGAAATTTTGAATTGGGCTGCCTGTGTTGCTGCTGATCATCTGATTGATTGGCTGCAACTTGAAAACCCAAATTTGCAGATTTTTTAGAGCAATTTTCGTATGACTGTGAAAAGCTTGCCGGTGCGTGAACGCGGTCGTCACACGGCAAGATATACATACGCCTGAGAGAATTTTCTTTCCATCCCATCAAATACCCGAAATCCCGGAGAGGGGTCCTCCCCTATATTCGCTATACGGGTACGTGCCGCCAAACAGGGTATGGTTTTCCGCGACTCTACTCTGGAACAGGGTATATAAAATCACGCTTGCTCTGGAACAGGGTATATGAAATCACGCTCTCTCCTCTCTGGAACAGGGTTTTCAGCGAACTTGCTCTGGAACAGGGTATGAATTTCAGTGATTTTTACTCTGGAACAGGGTCAGGTTCAGAGGGCTCAGCGGCACATCCCTACCCTAAACGGGCAAAAGTATCCCCCTCCCCGGGCCCGAAACACAGCACGAACTACCAGACCAATCATATTGCCCGAGAAGAAAGTCATGCAACGTCAGCCATTCAAAATTCTAAAATCATCACGGTCGGAGCAAAACACTCATACAGCACTGAGCCTTTCATAGTCATACGAAAACTGCTCTATAATAATCAAGTGGTTTGTGCACAGGTAGCTCAAGCTAGGTTTTTTGTGGTGTCATGTTATAAGAATATGTATGGCGATGTAACATGACACCACAGAAATCTATCCGTGGGCTACCTGTGGTTTGTGGAGATCAGCTTGTAGTCAAAGCACGGATGGGAGTGAGATATCTCAAAGATGAACAAGATCAGAATTAACACGATCAATCGATTAAGTAGATTCCAATAGTAGATATTTATATTGACTCGTGTTTATTATGATTATTCTTGTCAAGAACCTGATAGATGTTATGATATTTGAGATGTTTTAGTGTTGTTTGTATTCGACAAAGCTATTAAAAACACATTATATTTGGTGTTTAGTCCTATGTCTACAGTTGCTTTCGGTAGTGCAATCGGCGCCAATATTGGCGCCCATTCAATCTTTTTTGAAATAGCTGTATGCAAGCTTCCGTTTCTTAGTGCTGCAAATTTTTTGTCTACCACAAAAACCGCCATCAACTAAACGGATATACACTCTTTTGACTCCGACGAAAGACTAGCGTCCGAAACGTCAGTGTCAGTGCGTTTTTTCATTTTTTCACGGTGTATGATTTACCCTTTTATCATTATTGTTTCATTAGAAACACCGACGCAGCTCACACTAGTTTTTAGCTATAGTTAAATGATCTCTTCGGAAATACACTCATAGGATCTCAAAGCAAAGCGAATAAAAACTGAAGAATTTTGGCTGAATAAAGACAGATACCTTGCAAACCCATCAAAAAGCCATCAATTGCCAAAGATATTCGACGACAAAGTAGGAAATAAAGCAAAACTAACGACGCCGGCGTAGCTTATTAAGTTGGTGCCTTTGAACCCGCGTAAACCGACCATGACTGAAGACCTGATTCAACTGAGCAGTTCGTCTTCATCTTTTGTTTGTTCGTTCGTTCTTTCGTTCTCTAGTTCATTCGCTTCGTTTGTTCGTTTGTTTTTACATTTTTCCCGTTTCTTTGCTATGCATGGCCGATCATAAACCACCCTGCTTGCCTGTCTGTCCGTTTTTGTGTTCGTTTGTCTGTCTGTCTTTCGTGAGTATTGCGGAGAACTCTGGCCCTCGATGTAAAGCATGGAGGAGTTCAAGAGCAACACGCAGCGTATCCGAGAGCCTTTCTGGCTATTCAAGTGTACTTTACAACTTCTAAAGTGTTCATATCAGAGAACACGAACGTAACGAGCAATTTTATATTGCATCTTAAAAAACCCGCATACGACGAAATGTAACACGGCGCTCCAAAACCTTTGTCCTTAGAAAACAACCAATCAGAGCTCGCGTACTATCTTAATGAGATATGAACACATAAACGTTTCTTCTATCAGCGACTTATCAGTTAATTGCCCTTTCTAAACATTCGAATATCTCCTATTTCAATATCAGTTGGGAAGATTTGGAAAATCGAAACAGCACGGTGACTCGCCCTCTCGTAATGATTAAGTAAATTGAAACATTTCTACCAGTTTTTCACTGAAACGCACCTTCTAATCAGTAACGTTAATCCTGAATCCATAGTGAAATATAATCATTGCAAGACAACGAAAAGAGAATCGGGTAAGAAGGTGATCCATAAGGTCTGATTATTGTCATTATTGCAGAAACAGAGAACTTATTCGTGACTTTTTTTACCGCGAATCACGCGAACATGTTTACATCTATAAAACCCGGCATCCATCTGATTGGCGTTTTCGCAACAGTTTTTACTCAATACCAAATGTTTTTTTTTACCATAGACACATATTACTACATAGTGGTTTAGGAAGCTATGGGGATCTTATGGCTACATGAAAATTTCAGTTCAGTGATGAAAGCGTGCCACAAATGCGTAGTTAAATATTTAAGAGAGACATGATTTGGTATTTTCAATGACCCTCCGTTTTATGCTCACACAGGAATGAGTAATCATAACTGTCGTAATCTTACACCCCCTCCCCCCCTAGGGAATGCCTAACAACAGATCAATGCACACAGGAATGCACGAGCTGTAGAACGAAGCAAGAATAGCAAATACTCGAGTATCTGTAAATAGAAGCTAAACGTCTAGGCAAGCATTGTTACTATCGTCTTGTAAATTGAATTGTAGTCTTGACTGGTGCGCCCATTACATGTCGACTGTGATTAATTCCTCAGCGATCAATGAGTTCATGTCTTTGTCTTTCCAGAATGCCTCTCTTTGGGAAGAAGAAGTTCGATGACAAAGTCACCAACAGATATGATTTACGAGAAGTTCTAGGATCGTAAGTATGGCTTTTTCTTTGCTTGGCATTCGAACTTCGAGGGAACGAGCATCTCTAGTTTTCAACAGTAGATATCGTTCACATTAGCTCGAAGTAAAATGAACATTTCCTTGGAAAAGGCTTGCGCGAGAACCGTTGACCCTGACAAGACTCCTAATAAAGTGTTTATTCTTGAATTATTGCAGAGGAGCTTTCTCCGAGGTGTTTCTAGCTGCAGACAAAAAAACTGGCAAATTCTTCGCTATTAAGTGCATTCCCAAGAAAGAAATAAAGGGTAAAGAAGAAGCCGTCGAAAATGAGATCGCTATCCTTAAAAAGTACGTGATTTGGAAAGATTATTGACAGAGATATTTGACTCAACTGATGCCAAGCTGGTTGTCAAATGTCGGATTGTTTTTTAACTTATTCCGTTAAAAGTGTCGATTTAAGCTAGCTAATCGATGCGTCTTTAAAGCTAGCCGTATCTATTAAAATATTACTCTACCTGTAAAACGCTTTGCCAAAACTAAACTAAACACTGTGCGTCTAAGAGTAACATGACTGTCCTTATACTTCAGAGTTTCGCACGAGAATATCATTGGTTTGAGAGACATTGTCGACAACAAGTCTCATCTTTACTTGGTGATGGATCTGTAAGTAAAGCACAGTAGATTCTCCATCTTTGCGTGTTATTATTACGATTCGTGTTAGTCTTGTTCCTGAAGTTACGAGAGAATTGGACTTTATTTTTAACAATCAAAGTTATAAAAACACAGAAGGGCTTCAGAACTTTGTACAAAATTCGGGCCTCACCTAGCAAAACTTCGAGCCAACATGTCATAACAAGTCTTTTTGCGTCACTTTTAACGTTCAAGATTTTCCTTGTTGAATTTTACGCTTTTATAATTTTTTTTACGAACGATATGTTTAGGAGATATCGGTTGGGTAATTGTCGTTTCTGGAATGCACCTTGCTTGATTTTTAAAATATAATATTCTTAAAATATAATATTCTGTGAATCAGTTTGATAATTTATTTCTATCCCGAGTTCACTTGCCAAAGAAAATGTACATACGACAATTTAAATGATGACCAATTTAATAAATGACAGCAAATCTAGAATTTCAAATCTCATAAGTAAATGTAAGCACACGGCTTCCTCTAGGCTGGCTGGCCTAGTCTAATCTCAACCTCGAAACGTTCAACTACCAAACATCGAACCAGGAAAACCTTAATCTGTTGTACAAAATAAGTAGAAATAAAAGAAAAAAAACCAACAAAAATTTACTTATTTTCGGTCGTCAAAGTCAGATTTACATCAGTATTTTTCATGCGGGCTTGGAAAAAACCCCTTAAACTCATTAGATAACAACGAAGTGACATTCTTTCGGCTTTTCTTCGGGTTTTGACATCGAATTTGTTTTATTTGCTTCTCTATACATTATCTTTGGAATGAATAAACAAATCTATTTTCACCGTCGTGTTTGATTATAATCTGCCGTATTATATTCCTGGTATATTAGTGAGTTAGCTGTATCCACATGCATAAATTATTATTATAGAAACATCAACAGAAATTACCAATGATTTTTCTTCCATCATTCCACAAATTGAGGGTGTACTTACTTATAATTATGAAGTTATAAAGATGGTGGAAAAAACCTGGTGAGATTTTTGTTTTATTTTTATATCACCTTTGGCATAAAATTATATATTTATTTTAACCCCTTCATTTTTTTTAATGATCTCATTTATTATCAAAGTGTTAGACAACTCTCTCTTGGGGCATTTTTTTGAATATTTCCTCTTCATACAATACTTCTCATTTGAAACACTTGAAAATATACTCAAGCTAACATAATAAACTCCTCGGGATTCTGAAATGTGCAGGCGGCAGTTACAATTTTTTTCTGTTTTGCACCAGTACGATTTTATTTTATTTTAATTTGTTTCTACGTTATTAATATTTTAGTGAATTTAATTATTTTCGTTCGTAGTAATTAACAGTTTTCAATATTAGTGTTTTTGTTTTTGCCTCAAACAAAACTTATGTTTTTTAATATTTATATTTCCTTTTCTTTGCTTCTAGAGAATGCTTTCCCATAACATTGACACATTTGGTTTATATATATATATATATGTAAATATATAAAAAAATATATATATATGTGAAGGACAGCGATTCCATTGTGTTATCAACAAAAATTCGTTACCAAATCATTCTAGAATATGTAATAAGACATCTTAGCATGTTTTGAGCTAAATTGCTCCATGTTTATTGTAAATTTTCCAACAAAGATAGCACCAAAGATATATGTATATATATCGCTGAATTGTCAAAGCATTTTTATTGTTGAAAGATACATATGCATATAATATGCATTTGATTTTCAAAATCTACCACTAACTCAGCAGTCAAGCAGTATAGATTTCAAATTCACAAGTACTCCCCAGGAGACTAATTACTTATCTACATATTTATCTATTTTGATGTACTTCTCCATTTATCCAGGGAAATGATCAGAAAACAAAAATGCTTTCATTGTAATAGCTTATCAAATATGCCAACATTTATGAAAAAATAATAAAAAACATTAATAATATAACTCTGAAAACGTAAAATATTTACTGCTGTAGTCCAAAAATATTCCTATAGAAATTTTTCATGTGGCATATATATATATGTGCCTTCGTTATTCATGTTCCAATAAGAGATTGATTTGCTGGTGACACAAAGCAAGGTTTGACGAGCTTTTGTGAAAAAGATTGACATATTAATTAACATCGCATTGGTTTTGCTAGTAAAGTTTTGCTATCATAGGTATTTTAACATGAAACAAGAGTTGGAGTGTTAATTGCACATGCTACAACAGGAAGATTAGACCTGATTATGAAAGTCATCTGAATGATAAAAATTATCTGTGTGTAAGTTCTTAGTTTTTAAATATTTAAAGCAAGAAAAAATAAATATTCATATTTAAAAATCTTGACCTCTTATGCTAGCTACTCCAACAGCATGGAGTAATCTACAAGAATATGTAATACTTAGTGCAAGAGCTCAGCATTAAGAGAGAATTCTTTTTGTATTCAAGCAGTGAGCGCCAAAAGCTATTTTCTTGAAGAAAGGCTGTCGTACAAGGCTAAATTCTTGTTATTCAGAAAGTTTAACTCATTATGGAAGTGGAGATGACAGATGAAAGTGGAATCAAAGTGTTAACCCAAAACAAAAATTGGAGTCGAAAAATTAGGTTTAGGCCTTCGTTTGCTTATTTCCCATACATTTTCTATAAAAAAGCCTGACAAAGCAAGATTCTAACACAAATGCAACAAAACATCTTTTGTACAATTGAAAATACCGCTTCAAACGGGCATTTTATCATAGTACATCAGTTTCTAACTGTTAAAAAAAGGTTTTGAGTGTTAAACCCAAAACGAAAATTGGGATCAAAACTCATACAAAAGACGCCTAGTTTTTGGGCTTTTTGCCATTATTGCTCGTTATTGAAAAAAATATCCCCTTAAATTGTTAAATATTAAGCAAGAAAAAAAGAAGTATCAAGTTTTCAAATCTGTTAAACCTATTATACTATTCCAACAACATGGAATAATCTACAAGACTATGCAATACTTAGTGTCAAGAGCTCAGCACCACATGAATCATATCTGTTTCATCTAGCTATGACAAGTATCAAGATATGAATAGTTAACCCATTCATAATTTGCATGTAATATTTATTAAAGCACTTACTACATAACATGATTAGGGTAAATACATATATGTTGTTTACCAGCCAGGAAGACAAGATAGGAATAAACTGTGCCTAAGGTCATGAATTTAGGATCAAGGCTATTAGGCAGAAGTCTGTTTTTAAGGCCAAGGGCATAGCTTTTTTCCAATCCGGACCAATTTTTGGGCAGTAAATAACTTATTAATTTTTATGAGCTGCCATTAAAAAAGCAAGATGATTTTAAGGATACCTGGCGAGAAAGAATTAACCACTTTTGTGAGTTATTAACCAACAAAAGTAAGCCATGCAAAACAAAAAGATGGAAAGAATATTTACTTTAATTCAAAGTCGAAGAATATTAGCTGAAAATAAGCTGTGAATCAGCAGCCCAGACTCTTACAGGGCTCAAAATAGTTCCTGCCAATGGCCATATGCCAGGCTAAAATTAGGGTTTGACAGGAAAAAACAATACTCCATTTTACAGTTCAGTTCGAGTGACCACGAATAATAGTTGCAAGTCAAGGCTGCAGTTTCCGCGCATAGCAAAACTATACTTTTTATCATGCGTGGAAACTCCAGCCTCGGCTCGGAACGGGACTGTAAAATGGAGTATTATGAATTGCCAAATGGAAAATAAAATTGCAGGTGAAATATACTAACATCATCTTTCACTGTTTCTTTATCTGATGATAGTTCCTATTCACAAATGAATCTCCTCCAATCAAAAATATTACCAGTTGAAAAAGCATCCTTTGACTTAGCTTTCCACACGTATATTAGGCCACTTTTTATTCCTTTTCACTTTTTCCTCTCCTTTTTCTTTCTTATATATATATATTTCTATTGACTAAAAATATATAAATTGTACAAAGATGTTTTGTTGCATTTGTGTTAGAATG